ATTGGCGACTGAAGAGGAGACGTCTAAGAGCGAAACTGATAGAAATAATATAAAGAAAAGAAAAAAAAGAAAGAAGGAAGAAAATAGATCCAGGGGATATAGACTAGACAATAGTTCTAAAACCCTATAAAAGAAGAAAGAAGAAAGAGGATTGAAGAAGAAGAGTGTTTTGAACTACTCTAAAAACCCGGCAGCTGGAAAGGAGAAGTTTTGATGTGACATGATTTGCCTCGAGGAGTATGGCAGATGTCAAGGATTATATAAAGAAATTAGGTAAGGTTTTTAATAATTAGGTAAGATGTCAAGGATTATGTAAAGAAATTAGGTAAGGTTGGTTTGTTGTTTTAATAATTCCAATGTTCAAGAAGATTTTTCGATCCATCTTTGAAACAGGCAGTGTTCTTAGGTGAAAGGCCAACCATCTGAACTCCAGCACGAAAGGGGCACACTACTGCTAATTACAAAGATAAATACGTAGATATTATGTTGATGTTGGCAACTACAAAAAAAAATAAAAATTAAACCATGCCTCTCAAAAAGATACATATATATAACATAGATAGATAGACTGATAGAGACTGAGACTGACACACCCTACAGAGACAAAATTCCAAAGCCAAATTTGGGGATCATGTGGACCCAAAAATCTAGATCTTACCTTTCCTATTTTTTATTTATTCTCTAGATGGTGGCAAACCCCCCTGTACCACCACCCCCCTGTACCCCCCCCCTCTGTTACCAATTCTTGCCAACTGCCACAGCAATTTTTTTTATATAAAATATTTGTGACATATACCTTCAAGTGTGGAGGGTACAGATGAACTATGGCAAGGAGGAATTATAGAAAATGCAATATTAAGAATTCTGAATGTGTGAGGGTGTTGTGAACCTAGTCTCTAAGGGGTGATATTCAGTGCATATTTTCATCATTTCATGGTAAATATGAGGTCACAGTAGCTTGTCATCCATCTAGATATATCTTAGATTTTAAGCTAATTCTTTTCAATTTTCAGTTCACCCAATAGCAGAGATCAGAGAGCGGGCTCTCAACTCTCTGTTACAGAAGGTGAATTTTCAGTTGATTACAAGCAAAGGCCTGGGAGAGCATGCAGATTTTCTACCCAACTTACTTAAACTTTTGGATCTGGGCCCACACACTCTTCGGAAAGGAGTCATCGACCTGCTCAGATTTGCCCTTAAGGTTAGACCAGAAAATGGACTTCTGAAACTTATAAGAAATATTAGTCTCTTTAACCACAGCTAGCCAATAAAAATAAAAGTTAATATAAAACCAAATTAGAAGATAGTTTTGCTAAAACTGAAAAAAAAATGCTCTCATATGTTTGAATTGAATGTAATGCGACTTATTGCCACCTGTTACTCTGCGTATTTATACAGGAGGAGACTGCCAGGCACCGGTTCCAGTCTCTAGGTGGCATTCAGTACTTGAGTAGTTTAAAGATTGTTGCTCCTTTGGACATTGTTCCTGTTATTGGTGAGCTAATACAGAAGCTTCAACCATCGTATGTTGAAGAAAAACGTGAAGACCAGATAAAAGAGGTGAGACTTTTTTTTCCAGAATTTGATGAAAATAAATAAGCTGATTTGAAAGATGTTGTTTGTATGCATAATCTTTACGTTTATTTATCTGTATGTAGATGGGGAAGAAGGAAAACAGGGAGAGCAAGAGGGACAAGTTTTTTTATTATATATTGTAATTTTGTCATAATATATGTTACACTTTATACATTCATGTAGAGAAGAATGAGGAGAAAGGGGAAAGGTAGTAGTAGTAGTATTAGTAGAGAGAGAGAGAGAGAGAGAGAGAGTGAGAGAGAGAGAGAGAGAGAGAGAGAGAGAGAGAGAGAGAGAGAGAGAGAGAGAGAGAGAGAGTGCTTGTGTGTGTGTAATCACATTCCCTGGTTCAAATCTGTTAATTGATAACACTGTATTAAATATAGAAATAGAGATATATGAAAATGTTTTAGCATTTATCTTTATTAAAACAAACCAACTTTCTTCAAAATATCGAATGAAGGGAAATAGGAGGGGAAGGGTGGTGTCGTTACCTACCTGGAACAAGACCAATTTGAACCCCAAAATATCAACCCTTCCAAAACATAAGGTTCTGTTCATTATTGAATGTTTCAACACCTCTCCAACAATAGTTTTCTGTATACATATACATATAGGCGTATGTGTGTGTGTGTATATATGTGTATATATTTGTATGTATATATGTGTGTGTGTGTGTGTGTGTGTGTGTATATATATATGTGTGTGTGTGTGTGTGTGTGTGTGTGTGTGTGTGTGTGTGTGTATGTGTATGTGTGTATGTGTATATATATATATATATATATATATATATATATATATATATATATATATATATATATATATATATATATATATATATATAATTATATATATATAAAATTTAATTAATTTTTATCATTATTGTACTCTATAGATTAACAACCTCCCTTTTATTTAAAGTTTCTATTCAGAGCTCCTCGTGCTACTCAAGTAAGGTTTGCCTCTCAAAATGCAGCTGAAACCTCTGCAAGCAAAGACAGCAGCTTTGCCTCCATCATCATCAACAATAACCAGTACATGTGAGTTCAAGTTTACAGTCTACTTGCTTATTGATTTTTCTGTCTCTTTGAAGAAGTAAGACCACAGTGAGTGTATTTCAGATAAACAGTTAGATATAATATAGCTCCTTTTATTTTTGTTTACCCAAGTATCAGAGCTACTGTGCATTTGTGCTTTCATCAGTATTTTCTGATGTGTTGATTGATTTGATTCTTATATGATGATTATTTATTTATTATTTTTTTTTTTTTTTTTGTTAAACCATTCATATATATTTACAGTGAAAATGCTGACAATTCATGCCTGTGTGAGAACAGCGAGCATGAACTTCCTCCAGTAACATACAAATCACCAATTACTTTTACAACTTTCCCATGGCAGGTAAGCTTATATTGATATGTCACTCTAAGAGTATGTACTTGAATAGGGCATGTGCTTCCTTGTTTTAGTAGAGCCAAATTTTGCAGAAAAGAAAATGTTATTTATTAATTAGTTTTATGAATTATTATTTCTATTCGCGTCAGTAAAAGCAAATATAATTCTGCTTCTTAGGCCTTAACGAGCAGTGATCGCCGTGTCTTAGATTCAACGACTCAGTCATTACTTAGTCATCATGAAGCAGTGGTGGTTGCAGCTCTGCATTTCCTTGACACTGTTGTGCTCAAGGACTTCCCTCCTGAGGTGTTCCTTCAGCGGCCAGCAGTCGTACAGGTCAGAGCAGGTGTTTTATATGAATTAAAGCTATAATTGTTATCTAATCAATTTACACCTGTGAGTATTTTTTACTCCAGTTTCTGAAATAGAAAATATTTATGGTGTTTTCTATGGTAGGCTGTTTATGGCTGTGTTGAAGAAGAAGGTGAGAATGCCTGGCGCGTTCAAGGACCAGCATGTGCCAGCCTCCTCACCCTGACAGAACTGTTAAATATGAGAGTGACTCACTTCATGGACCCTCACCTCTCCCCCAGAAGCCAGCAGGTATGTAACTTTGAATGGAGCAATTTAAGGATTAAATATTAGAGAAAACTTAAAATATATCATTAAACTAGTTTTGAACCTATCCTTGCCATTAGTAATCTGTAAGGATCAATAATAGATATTGAAGATTATTTACTGGAAATTCATATCAGTTAGTAATTTTACTTTCAATCTAACATTAAAGGCCAAAGAAAGAGGAAAACACATTTTGCAATATTTTTTAGTCAGAAAGCATGTTTTTACTATAATTTAATCCAATCCAAGGATAGATACAATTTATTTAAAGGCCATGGATATGTTGATATCTCAACTTCAACACCAAAGGCATTTCATAACCATTGTATTATAACAGAACATGACACCAACCTCATCAGGCATGGCCACCCCATGCACAGACATGACAAGGGGCAGCTGTTGCTCTTCCTTGGGAGATCATTCGGAGAACTTAGGAAAGGGAGATATTAATGTAAGGCACAAGGGAGATGGACAGGACTGGAGTGGCTCCTTGGACAGTATTGTACATGTAAGTATTGGTCAGGTTTTTTGAGATTTTGTCATTAAATGTGCATGTGCAGCTTAACTCTGCGTAAGTTCCGATACTTCAACACTTTGTGCATGTATCATGTTCATTCTTAGCATAAGTACCATTTTTTTGTAATTGCTTTTAATCTTATTCTACGTTACTTCATTTTTTTAGCAACATTATTCTCATTATATTTATGTCGATACATATTGAGATTTGCTAAACTATAAAACACTTTTAGGTCCAAAATACTTTTAAAATCACTTACACCTCATATCTTCTTCTCTTTAATATGTTACTTTAAGAGTATACTTATGAATAGCCAAGTAACAGAATCTTATAATGCCTGTGAGAATAATGTGCTTAATTACATGAAATTACAATTATGATGCTGCAAGACTTATTACCCCAAACAAGGGAGTTCTTGCATGCAAATAGAGACCATACTGATAGGAGTTGTGGAGTGCATGACTAATAATATAAAAATGTACCAGAAATTAACTGGAGTGTGATAACAAGCAACTGAGAAGGAATCACTATTTTTAAGTGGGGTTTCACTACATCAGAAGAAAATCATATATCTAATGTTACTCTGAACAACATATAAATGTGCTTATTATTGTTTTCACAGTTATTTAGGATTTACTGAAAGAAATGAATACACATTGTATTTATTTATTTATTTTTATTTTTATTTTTATTTTATTTTATTTTTTTTTTTTTTACAAATCAAAAACATAGCAATTGATGTCTGACATGCAGTATTGAGTGTAGGGAAAATGTTATGTATTTTAATTTTACATGATTTCAGTAGAATTTTGCACAATTATTTTGTGCATTATATCCTTTACTCTAGTGTGCAACGATATTGTTATTGATTTTTCCATGGTTCACTGTTTGTCTAGAAGCCTTTTGGCTATATGCTTCTGAAGTGTATTCCTGGATTAGTTGGTCCTGTATATGTTTCACATATTTCAGTAACAATTTTTATCTTTTGAGTAGACTGATATAATCTTTTTTCACCATTCAGCTATCAAGCACAACAGTCCATGAAGCAGATGATGGAGATGAGTTTATACTCTTGGGAATGCACCAGATACCAGTGACCAGCCACTGTGTCCATATCATGAATGTCATTTGCCCTTTACTGGTTTCTCCACGTCCTGCTATCCAGACTGCCAGCCTCCGTCTTCTCTTGTCGTGTCTGAAACTCTTGGAACGTTGCTTGGAACCAGAATCACTTTGGCAGAGTGATAGTGATGAGCATGATATCCTGGAGGCAGTTGGTGGAATCAGAAGGGTATATATTCATTCATATTTCTAAAGTATTTTTGTATATCTGGGGAGAAAAGTATCTCATTAAATGATCATTTGTAATATATTTATATATCTCTGTACTTTTGTATTAAGGAACCTGCTCTTGTATTTCAGGTTATAAAAAGTATTGCTCATCTTCTGATAGCTACCTTTGAATGGAGAAAAAATGCCAGATCGTCAGCAGATTTGGAGAAGTATGTGACTGATACAAACTGTCTTGCTTTGTTGTTAAGTAATATTTTCAAGAATTTTGTACCACTGGAAGCTTCTCACCAGGTCAGAGTATAAACATAATTTGTTGTGCTTACTGTAAAAAACTTATGAACTAAACTGATTAATTCCATGATACACATTATTTGTATAATCTCTTTGATACTGCTTCATTGGATTACAAGACTTATAATTTAGATGATGTTACATCAAACTATTTATGTATTTTTCTATATAAGTTTAGGAATACTTTATTTTTTGGCTTTAAACTCGACAGCAGTTTTATTTATAGAAACACTTCATGTTATGAAATATAAGGTACATATGTATGACAATAAGAATTTAAACCAACTTTATGCTTCCAGGTTATAGATCATGATGTAGCTAAAAGCTTGGTATCAGTTTTATGTGATGGTGGTTTCTACATAGAGTATAGCAAGCACCATGCACATCTCCTTGCCCACCTCAGTAAAGCAGAGCCCTCCCTAGCCAAGCAAGTCAAGAGCATCACCTTTGCTGCCCAAGGTCTCTGTGCCACATCTGAGTTCCTGAGGACTTCCACCTCACAGCTTGCACAGTTCCTTGAGCTGGCTGAAAGATCTCTCCCAGTGGCGAGCATTCACCATAGCACTGTGTTTGTAGAGAAGCTCGTAAGAGGATTGGCAAAGCAGGTTGCTCTTGGAAATGTGGATGCAGAGCAGCTGGAGAGGATGAGACAGTTGCTTCTGCAGGTTTTAAGCTATCCGGATGATGTCTTAAGATCAACAGGGTAAGATGATATCAACTGTTGGTATATTTCAAACCGTGAATTTATTTTTAATCATCCTGAGCATTTCTTTACTTTATGAAGAAGTGTGTATTCTTTCATAGATGTTACTGTAATACATATCATAATATATTTTATTTTTGGGTGTTGATACATGTAGAACAAACAAATTTCTAATACATATCTTATTTTAAAAGAATTACATTTATTCTAAAAACAATAACGGTTTTATACAGGTTCAAGTGTGTTTTGAAGTTAGTTGAAGGAAGCATTGGAATATCACAAGTTGCAGATACATCTCTCAGTAGATCTGCCAGAATATCCATTCTCCTTGCACCATCTGTCATCAGATTTCTTCTTTTTAGTGGACTGGTTGATGAAAATGATGAGGTAGGAGTATGCTGTGATATAATGAGCTTTTTATGTTATTATTTACTAACTTTGCAATTTGTTTTTGCTTTATATATGTAATTGATATACTGGAACTGTTGGTTTTACTAACGGCATGATTAGATTCAGTCCATGGAAATTTTTGTCATAGTTGACATTCCACTGTAAGATGATGGTAAAGTACTTAACTGGAATATAATAATCAACAGGTGGTTCAAGTAACAAAAGCCATATTGCTTGCCCTGTTTCGTGGCAAACTGTTGATGAGTCAGACTGTGTGGGCTAGCGCTGTGGAATGCTGGCGTGAATGTCTGCTCGATCTGCAGTATTTAGCAGATTCAAACACCAGCCTTGGTCGAGCAGTTGCTAATCTTCCAGTTGAGATTTATGGAAGTAATAGAATAGAGGAAAATTTTAAGGTATTGGAAAGAGTTTGCTGTTTAGTACTTGTAGTTTATAGTTAAGGGCAGATTATGTGGTATATAGAGACTTCGAACAAAAAAACAAGGGGAAAAAATATGGCACTGCATAGTAGAGACTTAAACCACAGTTATAATTGAAGAGAAGCAGAATGTTATCATGTATTATGATTCAGAAGCAAAGAAGAATCTCTTTGATATATAATTTCTGTTGATAACTAGACATCCTATGGTCAGGTTAGTATTACATCAGCTGCCTATTTTTGTTTAACTTTTAAAGTCATACCCCTTGCTTTTCATTTTTTTTAGGCTCTGATGAACTGTCAAATTATTCTGCATCATTGTCATATTGTCATAGAAAGAGCCAGAGCATATTACAGGATGAAATTTGAACTTGTTTTCTCAAGACTCAAAAATGAAGTTAATTGGTTCATGTCTTCTGGAATGACATTTGCTTCACCCCATGCTCTTTTTTTTTCTTTCCTAATATTCCTATATACTTTTCCAGATTTTAAAGTTCCACCTCCAGTGCTTATACTCAAAGGACAGAGAGATAAGAGTCCAAGCCCTGTCACACGTGGTCCACAGACTGGCAGCGGAAATAACAGTCTTTGTCCCGGATCCACGCGAGTTCCACTTGATGACCCACCATGACTTACTGATTAACAGCCAGCCAATCCACCTACTTCTTAAAGGCAGAATATCAACAGAGGTTTGTTAAGATTGGAGGTATTATAATGTATATATGTTTCAGTGAGATCTATATATAGAAATAAACCGTATTCATGTCGACAAATGTAGAAAAGGTATGAATGAGAATGAGTATCTTCACAATACAAGAGATGTATTTAATACATCTCTTGTATTGTGAAGATACTCATTCTCATTCATACCTTTTCTACATATAGAAATAACATCTCTGTTTATTTTGTAATTGTTATTGTTTTTAAGTGATTTGAATTTTGCATGGAGGGCTTTCAAACTTCTTTAAACCATGAAAAATGCCAAAACTAGAGTAGAGAGTTCATATCATGCATTTTATGTGCAGTGCCATGATTTTTTAAATTTCTGGTTTGTAATGTAAAAAATGATTCACGAAGGCTTCTATTAAATTCCTTAGTCTATGCACATTCTTTAAGTATTTTTGTTTTCATAAAGTATTTACAATATGTATATCAACAGACAGGAAGATTGGCAAAGGTGGTGGAGTTGGTGATGAGTGCTGGCGAGAGTGAGGTGCGCAGAGCAGCTTGGTCACAACTGGCTTTCTTCCTAGAGGACCCAGAACTTCACCAGCCCTTCCTCCAGCTCTGCTCCATCCAGTACATTGTAATGAACTTTGTAGGCATGTTGAAGGTAAGCAGTGTATGAGTAGAGGGAGAGTAATTTTATTAATCCATCAATATTGAGAAAAGTAGGAAGGGAACTCCAAGCTTCACATATGGCTGTTCTGAAACAGTTAAATAAGTCATGAATAACATGGAGGTAGATTCTGATGTATATATATCTGGCAATGAAAGTGTGCTGTACTTGTGGATAAGTTTGTTGGAAAGATCATAAATACATCAAGCAGATAGAACATTCTGATTTGCAATAAAAACAGGAGCTTCATGAATTTGGGAAAATAGCTGTACCTTGTGTGGTTACTACTAATATTTCAAGGTAATATTACCAGTATTTAGGATTCAACAAAAACTTAGTCTAAGCATAGTGGTATGAATACTTTACTTTGCCAGTGGCTTACTAATGCTGAAAAAGAAAATTGCCTCAGTAGCACTTCAGTTCTTTGTAATCATCTATGCTTTCACAAAACAAAGCATACTTGTGAAGCTGTAAGTATACTTCCAAGTAAATAGATGTAAATAAGGTAGAGGATTATAAAACAATGTAGATTTTTTTGCTATGCTTTGGGACTTTGAATATAATCTTTTATTATTTATACATTTCAGTATGAAGAAGCATTAGATTTGACTGTAGAATTTATACCAGGAGCTGTTGATGTTTTACGGCTTTTAGCAACTCACTCTCAAGACATCAGGCAAACATTAGCACGCAATGAAGAACTTCTGTTGTGCTTAGTGAGAGGTAATGTCTTTCTTTCTTTCTTTCTTTCTTTCATTCTTCCTTTCTTTTTTTTTTCTTTCTTTCTTTCCTTCTTTCTTTTCTTTTCTTTTCTTTTCTTTTCTT